TTCAAACATAATTTTCATTGATTAAGGCTATTGAGTCACCCATTTACGTCATAGAAGCGTATTGTCACCAGAGAGCGTGATTTATAGTAAGGGTCTACTGACTCTTAGTATAAACTCATATGGTGTGAAAAACATCTTTCCAGTGTGTGTTAACATTTTTCGTGTGGACATGGAAGTGTGTGGGTGCGAAGGCGAATGTGACGTTACAATAAAAGTACGAAGAATCTCTGTATGTAACCGTGTATAATGTTTTTTTAAAAAAAATATATACCTGTAGTCTTGGAGACACTAATTTGTACACCCGCCAAATTCTCGCCGCTGTGGGTGTGTGTCAGTGTGCCTGAAGCGGCGCTATTGTCAGCAGCATTTTTGGCATCGCCTTCTTGAAGCAACACGTCGTACGTCATATTCTGGGCGCCATGGAGACATCGAAAATAGTTGTGAGCCTCGTTAAATTGTGGCCCAAGAACAGCCATACCACCAGCACCCGACGCATTTTGATTTGGAGCCGGGCACTTGCCACCTGCAGTGCCGTACCATTTACTGTAATCTATTATTAAACGAATAGGGAATATGGAAGAAATGAATGTGATAATAATACTAATTACACTAAATAATTGACCACAAACCGGCGTCAAGTCGCCGTATTAGAATTTCCATTTGGGCTAAGGTGACTATATCACTGTGTAAAATTATGTTGGAATAATGTTAGAGGGCGCCATTGATAAATCTTAAGTGATTCGGCGTTGAAAAATTAATTACATTATAAGTATGCAGTATCACATAAGTGTTGGATACATCATGGGACAGAGCCGGCCGTGTTGAGAGCGTGGCCCAAAACCACTCGTCGATGTCCTGTGAAGTGAGGTACTTAAACACTGGTTGCGTTAATGTTATTGGAAGTACCAGTCAAGATCAACATAATTTCCCCATAACAAATCATTCTGTAATATTCACCATAAGTTTACATTGATCACTCAGAAGCTAGAACCGCGCCTGATTTACGCCTTCACTGATTAAACTAAATTCCACCTTCTCAACAACTCACCTTCTCACCTTACACTCATCTACGGTGTGATCGTGGTTATGTTGGAAATAAAATTTCACAGTCTATTTACTCAATATTGTCGACGGCATCTCATGAACGCCAACTACTATAATTGGCGTAAACTTTTCTGTCAATCTGTACTTACCACAATCTTGTTCGTCTGATCCGTCACCACAGTCGGTCAGGCCATCACATATCTGGTCTTCACTAATACACATGGCAACACCCGCAGTGTCGGATATACATCCATACGGTTTAGATGGAACATTATTTTCACATAATGGACGCTGTAAACAATCATAGGAAATACGCGAATGATTCATGGCTGGAAGGCGGGAGTATTTCTTAGTAGAAATTGCACATCATGTATGCATCCATGATGGCAACTACGTATGTTGAGAGATAATTGCATGAGAGGACTGGACTGCCAAGTCAGATATTTAATTCAGATCTGTCGTCGTTTAATTGTTAACAATCTCAGGTTGTTTCACTTGTAATTCCGGAGAAAGAATTCGTTTGCGTGTGTTTGTGTCGCCCATGGGCAGTTTTAATACACCTTTCCCATAAATCGCGTCATCTAGTGACAAAACGCTTATACAGCATAAGTGGGTAACACGAAGGCGGTATCGAAGCGTCATTATCGTTTTGATCTGTAGTTCTACATCATGAAGATTGTTTTTTGCTTTCTATGAGTGATGTATAAGCCCCATAAATGTGTGAAAAAGTTGTATAATCTATCAGTGACATGATTGGATGTCAGTGTCGGGTCAGGTCTATCTAATAAAGTTCAATTTATACTGAGGCTCATTCTCTCAGTGCAAACTCAAAGACAAGTGTATGTTAGCATGTACTGAGGGCAATATCAATAAGTACCAGTGTATGTAAGGCTGTACCGTGTTAAAAGCAGCTTCCCATTGAATGTCTTTATTTAAACGACCCTGTGACATGTGTATTATCGGTATAATGTATTTAGTACTAGTCCATATTGTCAGCATATATCTGGATTTCGGCTGTAGTGCCGGTAGTGTATAATTACGTTAGATCACATATATCCGCTGAAATGTGTGACGATCGATTTTTTTATTGTTCAAGGCATGAATTGCGAAGACAGAAACAAATAATGTGTATAATTGATTATAATGATAATTAATTGAACTTCGCTGTTTTCTGTACAATTTTTTTTTATGTCATCAACATAACACATTTTTCGTTGTTTTTTTCTATTCTTAATACAATGTTATAATCATTTTGACTGTAAATGTTACATTTTATATTGTCACGTCAGTCAAGTTAAACATACGTTGGAACGTTTTCGATAACTGTGTAACATCGTTGACGATGTGAACGTCCCATACTAGACGACGAAGTTAAAGTGTTACATGAGACCGCGGTCGAGATATTTCTTGACAAAACTTGTTAATAATTGCACGACAAAACGGTCACATTTAAATCAGACATACCGTAGAGTATTGCAGCTGTATTGCAGGCAACATTTTGGTGAACCAAGTAATATGTGTTCTGAACTGCACAGACTATATAGTTGTTTTCCGTATAGCCAATCGTATCGAATTTGTAGGATGGATATTTTACTCATGCTAGTACTATGTCTGAGTGAACTTCGAACATCAGACATTACATTTCACCTAGGATAGTTGTGTTTAGCGCGCACCCGCAGCAGAATTCAAACAGCAATGAGTAACGGAATTGATTGTAGTGAATACAATATATAAACTGTTTAATACGCCGTATAACTTTTCGGTGAAACTGAAAGCGCTTTCAACCGAGTTAATACAACCAAATACTATAAAAAGAACATGCTAATAAGATTTAATTTCAGCTTTGCTACAATGATCAAACCAATTATATTATACTGCAGTGAGATTTGGTCAAATGAAGGAATAACAAACTCATTAAATTTATTTAATTTTGCGCGCCCAATAGAGAAACTCCACAGCAGATACTGTAAATATCTACTGAATGTTAACAGTAGAGCAACTAATATTGCATGTCTGTTGGAATTGATTGGGTAGATATTCCCTCATCATTCCAAGCCTGGCACAGATAGTAAAATTCTGGCAAAACATCACTAAAAACCATGAAAACACACTGGTCAAGGAAGCCTACAACCTTGGTATTCAACTGAATACACAAGGTACCAACAACTGGGTTTCAGGGCTTGTACATATTTTAAAATTCTTAGGCATCAAATACACTTTGAATGATAAAAGGATTGAAAATAGCTTTGTTGCAACTTTTGTGGAAAAATTAAAACATTTGAAGAACACAGCAATAATGTATTATTTGATGATAACAAGGGGGAAACCAGAAATACAAATTAAGAGCATACAGGCAACTAAAAAAAATGTCTCATTTGAAAACTATTTGGAAATTATAAAAAAAACCTCATCACAGGGTAGTCTTAACTAAACTTAGGTTAAGTGCCCACAATCTCCACATTGAAACTGGCAGATATACTAATAAAGATGTGACTGACAGAAAATGCCAAATCTGTCAAAACAGTGAAATTGAAGATGAGAAACACTCTCCTTCAATGTAGTCATTACACAGAATTAAGGAACACATTTTTTAACAAATTCAACATTGTTCCTGATATCTGTCCAGCAGAACAGAATTGTATCAAATTATTAAAAAGTACACATCAGGAAACCATTATTGAACTTGGTCAACTTATTTACAGTTGTTGTCAAATGAGAGAACAAAGTTTGAATAAATAAATTTACCAGCTGTCTCATATCAGAACCATCAAAAAAATAAAAAAAAATAAATAACATTTTATTGTAATATTACCATCAATGCAATGTACTTATTTTACTTTTGTCTCAAGTTATTATTATACAAGCGACATTTATGAATACA